AGAAGAATACATTTACATGAAGACCCAATGCCCAGGTGTGACTGTCTCACCCATCTTCATGCAGTGGGGAAAAACAAGGGTAGAAATCACTCCCCTCCTCAGACACATTGTGTCTGCTTTAAGGCCTGGAGCTTGTTGGATTGCCAGGCCTGTCCAACCTAAGGTCTACAGAATGCCTGTGGCCCAGGATAACTCTGAATATGACAAAACATGACAGGATAACTCTGAATATGACAAAATATAAACTTTTGGGGGGGTTGGTTTCTTGAGACAGGGTTTCTCTGTAGCTTTGGAGGCTGTCCTGGAACTAGCTCTTGTAGACCAGGCTGGCCTTGAACTCACAGAGATCCACCTGCCTCTTCCTCCCCAGTGCTAGGTTTAAAGGCGTGCGCCACCACTGCCTGGCCGAGATCATAAACTTAAAGCATTGAAATGGGGTGGGGGGGGGATTTTTTTGATAATTTGTGTGGATAGTTATTAAGCATAAACTTCATAGATGACAACATTGCATTGAAGTGTCAAAATGTTGAACACACCTGAAGAACAGTTATATGAAGAGAATGAATGGGAGGAAATAAGAGGCTAAAGCTTCTTTACCATCATGCATCTCTTCGACCTTCCCTCAACCAACATCCCCTGGTCCCACCCAAGACTGGGAACTGGAGACACAGCTATATGAGAGTCTGCTAGGTGGCAGAGCATAAAGGGCAGATGTGTGACGGCAGGGGGAAGCAGAGAGAAATGAAGATGCCGTCTAGGTTGGGAGGAGGGGATGGAACATGCAACAAGAGGACTCGGAGGTACCGTCTATCCAGCCAACTTCCTGGGTACTGGTGTTGCCTTCACTCTGGTGAGGAAAGCAACTGGGGGGCAACATTTGGGGTTCATGGTGCCTCCATTTAAGTTGAGCGTTTACATATGAAGGGATAGACCTGTTGGCCACATTGGTGAATCCCATAGAAGCCTCCAGAACAGGGTTGTGACAAGCCCTGGAGTGTGTTCACAAGCAGCTCCCTTCTTCTCCACTTAGGCCCTTTCTTCTGTGAGTGGCAGCCAGGGTGGCAGGCTGCATCCCCATAGACCCTGCATGCTTAGTGACATCCAGCCTGAGCCTGCTGGGAGCTCTGCACAAAGGCCTCTGGAGACAGGGCATCCCACCCTGCCTGGGAAGCTGCCTACTCAGTTGCACCCCTCTCTATTGGGCCTGATGCTGAACCATGACACCCAGAGGAACCACCCAGACAAATCCATTTGTTCCGCTACCCCAACAAAAGCAAATCTGGCCTCCGTTAACCTAGACAGGGAATTTTATACTTGTGCCTAGCAATGACCATCAAGATGCCATGATGCTGGTTCAGCTTCAGGTCTGGACATAGCTTGCTTTATTCCCACTTGGGCCTCCTTGCCTTTGCCCCACAGCCAGCCTTCTGTGGCCTGGCATGAGCCCCCAAGGCTCTGTGGGAGAAAATTGGGTCTTCTTGCTCCACAAGCAGAGAGACATGGCTCAATCTATGCTGATGGGGGTCCAATCCCCAGTCTCTCTTTCCCTAAAAATAGATACATCCACAGAGGATATGAGGCCATCAAGGATGCTGAGTGGCCACCAAACACTAGGATTTATTCTGTCTGGCTGGTTCACAAGGATCTCAGATGCCATCAGCTACACACAGGAAGGAGAGAAAGGTCACACAGTGACCTGAGATGGTGAGGCACACATGGAGATGTCAAGAAGGCAGTTGGCCACACACTCAAGTGCATATGCCACAGACATTGGCCAAGAGACAACCCATAAGCTTTTAATTCCATGCAGGTGCAAGTAACTATTTGTTATAGTGGTGCTGGACTTAGGGCCTTGCCAGAGAAACACGTTGACATGGTGTGGCTGAAATTCCAACACAAACACAGACCTCAAAGCCTGTGTCCTGAAGACCAGGGTCTATGTCTTTGATAGAATAGAAGTTTCTGTCCTAAACACAGAGCAATGGGACAGAGTGCTTTTGCCTTGTTTTATGGCTCTCCTCTCTCTCTCTCTCTCTCTCTCTCTCTCTCTCTCTCTCTCTC